AGTGTTAAAATATTAGTGTTCTCCATGTGATTTGAAGACTTTAAACTGTTTTCAATTATCTGTGCCCTGTTCGGGGGGAGGCGTATATGCTTATCAAACCGAGCTTAAGATGCACCAAATCTACGACGCGGACGTGAAGAAAAACTGTAACTATTCCCACAGTTTCATGACACGGATAAAAATTATGGCCTCCAGTTGATAAACAAAGTCAGAGACACACTAGTGAAGCAAAATAAAACTGGATTCCAAACATTTGCAACGGTTTTTATGCCGCTCACGTCCGCGTCGTAGATTTGGTACATCTTAAGCTCGCTATAGCAAGTATGGAGAATTCAGAAGACACATTCGAAGAGTCAGTATTGAACGTATCATTTGATGAGCTTTCCATTGAAGGTTAGTGTCAAAGAAGTTATATCTTTTCAATTAAAAACTTTGTATAGGTATTATAGTCATTATATTATGATAGTACTGTGTCTGAGTGTCTGTGTTTAGTATAAATAATTAAATTCTCTTATTCACGCCTTGTTATTTGTATATATTATTTCTCAATTTTCCATTGATAATTATACTTTTAAATCAGTAGCTGTAACTATATTTAAAGAATTTGAGTTCTTTACAGCACAATTATAAATTTGAGACAAGTTAATAAGTAATTTGTACTGTAAATTTTGTAAATGGAAATGCAAAATTGATGGGTCTGCCGTCTAGTATAAAAATGAGGCATATATATGTCAGATATATCATGTCATCTATGATTTATATTTCAATTGGTAAACAATAGTTTGTTGATTATGTCAAATAGGATTCGATTTTTATAAAAATCTGCCTGTATCTGGCTACCCTGATTTACAATTATGCAAATTTTTACTTATAGATAGTCAAGCAGATGTTGTATTTCAAGCAGTAAACATCAACTAAGCCCATCCAAAGCTGCACATGAACAACAACCTAAGCGGTTAATCGCCTCGTATAGGAAAGCTTAAATATTGGAAAGATTGTTAAAAGTTTCAGTTGCAACCAGTTCTGCAGTAATTCTACTCCTTTTTTAACCGTTGTTTCTTCGCTGAAATCCGATCGCCGATGAAGCGATCTGTGATGGACATAAAGTCCATTTATTAAAAATATTTCGATTTTCCCATATTCTGTAAAACAAGCATGACAACACGTTTTCCCATTCCTCCATTCTAACAATAACGCTTTTCCAAAACAAGACTGCATGTTTTAGGTCAAGTTTTTCTACTAAATTTGCGTCGTCCAGAGGTATAAACACTTTTGACAGTTTTGAGAATGACAAATTACCAATTACATGTAACAATAACAATTAACAAATTTCTCACAAACGCCTCCCCCCCCCCCCCGGTATTTTGGTATTTTGAACTAATGGGCGTGACTTCTGGCAGAGGTTTCCCGCTTCCTTCGATAACACAGAAACCTGTGCGGAGGAGAGAGGCTCCGCGCCGTTGGCTCGAGGATATTAGAGACCTTACGATTTTAGGACGGCAACGCGATGACAACGGCCAAAACAAACTCCTTCAAATAAATGGTAGTAAAGATAAATCGTCGTATATTATCAATCGTATGAATTTAATACAGTCTTAGAAGTTGAAGACATGGGTTTTACGGTTGAAGAGAGTTATACTGAACCCAGTTTGAAGTTGCACTTATTGCAGGCTTGAAATGCAGCCGTTGTATCAAGACGTGAAAATATGTGATTTAGCATTGTAAACAGAGTTAGGACGATGTCTAAATTTTCGCCGACACATACACACGCGTATCTCTGAACACATGGGTGTTTCACCTTTGATTGGAAAGAAACGTTCTGTTTCAACCATGTCAGGCATACTCGCTCATATCCATACGACTAAACATCAATTTTCACCCTCTGATTTTAAAATCCAGCCGAAAATTTAGCCGAAAATTTAGTTTTTGTATTTAATATACCTTTTTTTAATAAACTTCTTCAAACGTAGCCGTTCTGTTTGTTACATATGAAGTCTTGTCGGCTGAGCAGAGTACTGGCATTTGTCACATATATATATATATATATATATATATATATATATATATATATATATATATATATATATATATATATATATATATATATATATATATATACAATATACGCTTGTAAATAAGTTTAATTGCTCTGAAGATGTTGTGAGCAATACAACGAAACGTTACCCATGCAATAAATTTTATATTTTGTTATGTCTTGTCTGAAGGTCATTTGCTGCATGGGCTTTAATTTTCATTTTTAAATGTCTAAATTATTCATATATTGTAATTATTCAATTATTTTCAATGATCTATTGTTTTGGTAGCCGTCGCCGCAGGGGCGCCGGAACCACGGGGCAACTGCCCCCATTGCCCAAACAGTGCGGGGGCAGCACGGGGGCAACAGGTTGCCCTTTTTACCAGAACTGCACTTCGAAATTCGTGCGTTATTCACAGGAATTGGAATTTATAACTATTTTTAAGCAATGTTTAAGCAACGTTTAAGCAATCTTTACTTAAGTTTTAACCAGTTGCAGTAAAATTAATGCTACACCAAGTTAGATACATCCGTCTACTGATTTTATTTTGCACCTTCAGCAGGGTTTAAAATAATTTAGGACCTTCCCGGCGATTTTTAATTTCAAAGCATGGGGATCGGTAAGCGCATAAGCCTACTATAACGAAGTTGATATCGACTTCGTGGATCTGTTGCTAATGCTCTGGAAGATAAAGCTGGAGGAAGCACGGGAACTGTGGGCACTGATCGAGCTGTGTCTCTGCTGCCCGTACGGCAATGCATGCCGTCTGTGAGTCGTTCATATCGTACTTGCGTGCAGTCAAGTCTGGCTGGCGCAACAGGTTGAACGAACGCAACTTGGCTGATTTAATGCCCATTAAAGTGACAGGTCCAACCCTGCACGTTTTCCGTGAGCGTTTTTGTGAGCTTGCTGTGGACCTCTGGAATGGTGATAAATCACGGAGGAAGACCCAAGGGAAACAAAAGAAATATGCTGTAAGAAGAAACGCATCAAAAAGGACAAGAGGGAAGAATTCTTTAGAGATTGGTTGAAAGACGTTGGAGCTGAGGGCGAAGAGGAATGGGAGAGTGAGGAAAATAAAGGGAGATGGAAGCTGATTTATCGCGGAAGTTGCCCCAGAACCGGTCAAGAAATCCCACATTCCCACTAGTTACCTCTGCTCAATGGGAGCTGTCGGACAGCTCCAAAGACAGTGATCGCGAAGACCCTCTCCTGGGCGGAATGAGAAGCAGTGACTCTGAGTTACCGTGACCGGTGATTCCAACTAAACTATAGTACTCTAGTGTTCTATAGTGAGTCAAGTGAGAAGAATCCAAAATGAACTGAGTACTAGATTTTGTAAACGGTGACGGATTTTTAGTCGTTAATTACGACGTAACTTTTTATATACCCATATGTACAATGTAAAATATTTCTTCTTTTTAAGTTTCTTAAATTTGTAAACACTTTGTAATTCAAATCTTATTTGCGATAAAAGTGCAAATAAGCGATCAATAATAATAATAATAATTTATAAATTTATTAATATAGATTATTTGGTTCTATTAAGCTATAAAAACAATATTTTCTTATTGTTTTGAATTGATTCACATAAAACTTGTTAATGTTTGTTCCTACTCCAAATAAAATGTATTGCTGTGTTCTTACAAATGTTGTTTTGGTTTACATAACTATTATTTGGCCGATGCCCACTCCAGAACATAACTAAACTTTGCTTGTAAAACAGCCGGCAAAAATTTCACCTACTAAAAAATTTGACATATATTCAGAACTTTATTTCGAACCCTGTTTAGCACAGGGCAACAAATAAAATTATTCAAATTAATGTCGGAGTTTGCCGACCCATAATAGACACAAGTAATCGAATATCCATACAGTAAAGTTTTAACAAATATTGCCGCTCAGAAAAATGATGACTGAGAAGCAAGTGCCCTTTTGAAATGGCTGCCCCCGCCGCTTTACCTTGCTTCCGGCGCCCCTACGTCGCCGTCGCGTTGCCGTCCTAAAATCGTAAGGTCTCTAGCGACTGCATGACGACGACAGCGAAATAGCAAACATTTCGTGATTTGATGATTTCTTGCAAATATATTTCATTTTTGCAAGATTTTGTGAATTTCAAAAGCTTTCTAAGAAAATAACTGGCGAAAGAATTGCTAAAAGAAAGGAGTAAAGTCGCCGACGTTAACGAAGGTTTATAGGTTTGTTTTAAATATTGACGTATTGTTCGCTTTATAATACTGCCAATACCGCTTTAATTAAAAGCTGATCGTTACGTATATTTTAAATGAAAAAGACAGCATGCAATTTCAGTGTTTTTTTTATTGATTGCCCTTTTTTATAACTTATTACGCTGTCGTTCCAATTGAAGTGCTCCTCAAATATTGATTCAATACATTACCTCAAGCTGACCAATTCATTTCATCAAGTTCCTCGAGATATTCATACACTTCCTGTGAAAGAGCCAATTCCAAGAATTTGATCATTTCTGGTCACTTCCTTTCTATTTATGATTGGTTAGTTGCACAAACAACAAAGGTGATTGGTGCATTCAAACTATTCAACAGGAAGTTTACAAATATACTAGGAAGTGTATGAATATTTCGAGGAACTTGATGAAATGAATTGGTCATGCAGCCCGAGGTATTGTATTGAATCAATATTTGAGGAACACTTCAATTGGAACGACAGTAAAATTTTTAAATAAAAAAGAAAGCAAAGTTGTTTGAATGCGAGAATTTGAAATCATTTTATTTCAAACTCAAAGTTTATCGATAACGGCATTTTAGTTTTATAAAGAACATTTTAAAACGTCTTGCGAAGCGTTTCAGGCTGAATTTTACCTTAAATTGAAGCTTATATTACGTACGAGAAAATACATATCGGTCATATGCATGCAGAAACCCTCGCCTTACTGACAAAACATTATGTTTTTTGAATATGAAGAATTGAAAGTAGTTGTCATGGTAACACGATAATTTTAAGAATAGTTTTATTTAAAATTGAAAAATCCCCCCAAAATATCACTTTTAATAACAAAATTATCAATTTCCCAAACATATATATGGTAGGTATGTTATTATACGTAATATAAGCTTCAATTTAATGTAAAATGCCAAACGTTTTAAAATGTTCTTAAAACTAAAACCTTATAACTAAAATTTTGATATAGACAAAAATTTCACCACAGCTTGAAAGAGCATCACAAAATTAGTAATATTCCAAAGTTTCGTTACGAAATGTTGTAAAATGCGGATAATATAGCCCTGCGAAGTTTGCCGTTTTGCAGTAATTTTGTATTACAAACGGGAAATTGATACCCCAATCGGGTGTTGGGGCAACCTCGTTCCCAGGATCTTTCTATGGGAAAGACCCTGGCTGCGGCTGGTCACATGCCTCGTCAGAAATTTAGCACCCAAGGGGATGTGGGGAAGGTATCAAATTACATCAACATGCTTCGAGATATTATGAGATAAATTTTGCAAATTATTAAGTTCAAAAGACTTGCTAATTTTTGTTTATTTTCTTTGCTTTGAATTTACAAGAACATTCTTACATTTTTACTAACAGTCAAGTCAAAAAACCAAGCAAATTGTTTATACTCGCAGTACTCTCGTGTTATTATTCAATGCTCTCTTCACACTCGCAAGCACGGTTTTATAAATAAACGTTTTATTGTAATATTTTTAAAATATGCCATTAGATTTGTTCTTTCTTGTAAACATTGATATGCTTTGCTCCTATTTACTTGTTACTACGGGTCTTGTTTATAAGATTTTTAAAAGAAACAGTATTGTCTTGCTTGTCTAGGACTAGAGCCCAATATTAGCAAATGTAAACATTTGATACTAGCCAAACAGAGAAATGTCTGTCAGTGATTTATCCGTTTAAAACTTTTCGTACATAATTCGTATTCGGTAATTATAGTAAGGCTTTACTTACGCCTTTAGCCTTTTTCTTGGTCCCTATTCATCATAATATTTTTTTAATATACTATAATCTATGTCACAAATTTACATGCAGTGTCAGATGCGCACTGATTGTCACACAAATAGACAGAAATTTTAGAGTTTTCTGCTTCTACGAACATTTTTAAAATTTTCATTGTGACTCATCTGTTTATTTCTAGTTCATTACTCATTTGCTACTATTACTGCAGTAAGTAAAACAAGGCTCTCAAATATATTTGTATATTTATTTGATAGTGGCATAGTGATACATGTAGATTTTAGGCTATTTACACTCACAAGCAATCCTGGATATGATAGAGACGATACAAAGCTGTCCATTAAAAAATAACATGCAGTATTCTATTCCACAAAGCAAACACTTAAATCTCACTTGTATTATATATTAAAAATATATATAAAGCAAAAAATTAAAGTTTGTGTCAAAACGAAAGATATTTATAAAATTGATAAATGTGGTAAACACTACTATTAAAACAGTGCTCATTGAATTACATATATTATATTGACATATTGTCGTTTGACTTGTCTTTGGTGTATGATTTTGATACCGTAGATTTTCAACAGACAGCTATACTTTGACATATACCAAGATCGTAGACTTTCGACAAATGCCAAGGACCAATTTTATAGTCTTTTGTTATTCCTCTATTTTAATCAACAATCTGGATACAGTTGGCGATATTTCGGAAATCAAAACTGGGGCGGATCCAGCTAATAATCTGACCGTAGCATTTGGAAAGACCTCGCATTGCTAGTGTGGTCCGGGGGCATGCCCACCCGGAAAATTTTTGAAATTTGAAGCCCGGAAACGCCATTTCCTGCGTTCTGAGCGGCGTATTTCCTCCTCAAATTTCGGTCCTCAACAAATAAACATTTTAGACAAAAGTAACGAAAAACAAAGTTTCGTTTTATTCCAATTGCAATACACTGCAGCTTTGTTCATATGGACGGTGAAGCATTTGCTTTTGGAGTTTTGGTGGTTGTGATATTAAACATCAACAGTTTGAGTTGGATAGTAAGATTGACTTGTAAGCCATTACCGTCGCTAAAGGAAACATCAAGAGTTCGTAATTATGCGCATTATGCATTGCTTCTTCAGTAGGCTAACTGCTGCTGTATGATCATATTTTCGAAAACTGACATGGCAGTATCAGACAAGCACTTTGCAAAGGCAATTTTAAGCCAAGTGAACGCTCCATTCTCATCCTGCGAATTAACTACGGGATGACAGGCATAGTATGGAGCATGTTCATGCAACTCAGTACAGGGTGTATCATAAAAAAGTAGACAATTTTGAAACGGCTCTCAATTTCATAAATCCGATGTCATTAAATATTTGATAAATATAGATTGTTTGGGTACTTATAATGTAGAATAATCAAGAAATTTTCGTAAAGATTAATTTTCCAAAGCAGGGGACGTCTTTTTAGCAGCATTAAAAATAGCTTGCTTGTGAAATTTTAAAGGTTAAAATGCATTTTGAGTTCATGGACGAGAAATTTGTTACGTGTTTTATTAAATGGTCCAAATATCAGAAAATTTGCTCAATTTTAAGTCCTTCAAATAGGCTCTGAAACTTTCATTTTTTGGCACCAATGCCATTCACGCATGCTTAATTAATTCATGCATTTACCTAATTCGCATATTGTTACTTGAATTAATTCACTTTTCTTTACAACACAATTAAAAAATCTATGTTAAACCATTACAGTATTGTGCAACATCTTTCCAATGATGACTAAAGTTACCCAAGAACTAGACAAAGTAATGTAGCACAGAATGTGGTATTTTGGTGTGTATTGTGACGTATTACAGTAATTGAGTGAACTATCGTTTATATTTGCTTGCATGGCCAATCTTCACATGGTTCATTTGAGTAACAGCTATATAAGACAATGGGGGAGATGCAGGCTTTTAGCCAGGATCCTAAAAGAGGGCGTCCCATTTGGTACGATACATCTTCAGTAAGGGGGGGGGGTTCGAGAAGTTTATGTTACTTCATATCA